AAATGAAATTATTTCCAAATGCTTGTAACAGCATTTGAAAACAGAATTTAATTAAAAAATAAAATTTCATTCAACACTGCCCTCTCCACCTTGTTTTATAGATCCCTACATTTCATATCTGCAGGAAATAGGGGGAAGGTGCCAAAAAAGAATCCTTCTACTTCCCTTCAAATCAATAGAAGGCCTGATGACTACATACAAAGAATCTGGGTTTCAGGAACACTGTTAACTTGCCTCAACACACAGGCAAATAATTTGCCACAGATTGAAACATTGCTCTATTTCAAGCAACTTCCTGCCTATTAATAGCTGTGAAGCACTAGAACATATTACTGTATCAATAAAGCGGTATGCCTGCTCAAATCTTTTTAAAATGAGGCAACCCACAAATACATACATAGTTACACACATACATAACATTGCACAATCTCCTTCAACAGTCTGAATTGATTTGGAAATGGAAATAAGGACCAAGTGAATTTCTAATAGCCCTTCATATGCCAAGATTCCATATACCTTTACTTGCTTATATCCATACTTTCCTCATTGCCTTTGTACTAATAATAGCAGTAATTCCTGGAGTCATTTATTTACATGAGAATTTTCTGCTTACCTCTGGCATCTCCTTGTTCTTGCTCCACCTCCACCTATGCAAATACACACAGACACATGTACAAATGGCTGCAAATACCTTGGGATTTGCAGTTCAAAGGAAATGAGCATCACAATAACTTCCTCCTCCCTTCCACCTCCTTCTCCCGCTTTTCCTCTCTCTTTCTTTCCCTCTCTTCCCTCCTCCCTCTCTCTCTCCTTCTCCCATGTTGTGTGATCCATTCATCATTCTGTATAATTAGGCAAATAAAAAGATACCTTTGTTTTGACTTGATTTGCTGTTCCTTTCAGATTCCTTATGTGCATAGCTAAAGAAAGGAACATGCTACCTTTGGGCAGCATGTGATTGGTCAGGAAATTCCTTCTGCCACGGCATGTGGGTGGGGAGAACATTTGGTGATGTGGTGCAGATGCACAGGTTGCCCTTCGCCAGCGATGCAGATGTGTTTTATGTGCGCGTGCCCAGATGGTGACCCCTCTGGCATTATTAATGTGTCCCAGCTGCCAGGCCTGCTCTTTTGCATGCATGCACGCACCTCAATTTCACATAGTTCATGTGTTTATTAGGCATCAAATTCCTATGTTTCATATGTGGCAGTTATATTAAAAATGAGTTTTAACTGCTCTGAAAATTGATAATCTTTTAAATTGACATAAAATGTGGCCTTCATTTCAAAATGACTCCTCATACAATTAATTGAATTCATAATGCAAATTTCTGACCTTTCCCCTTACATGTTGAGAAAATACAGCATTGGGTATCCACTTTAAAGACAGTTAAGAAATTAAATATTTTCGTACCTGATATCTTAGAATGATTCTTTGCTTTTCTTTTATTTCTGATTTCTAAGACCAATTTTTAAGAAGTGGTATGTCTGTACATTTGAACATTGCTATTCACTGCTAATTAAAACCAGGCTTCAAGTAAGAGAAATTTGGGATCATCTAGAAATGGGTTGTACTTTTATCAATCCACAATGAGAACTAGTATTATAAAAATATAATTCAGTAATTGCTCCAAAATATTATAAATTGTAATAACTCCATGGATTTAAGGAAATGGCTTAGTCTTAGCAATTTTAGCTTATGATCTAAAGTATGAAATACAGGAGCATAGCAGTTTTGCTGAATTAAAATGAACTGACTCTTACTATTACAAAAAATTTCAGTATTTTTATGGGAAATGTAAAGACGAATCAAATTGTTCAAACAGAAAGATGAAAAATGCAAAAGATAGATGGTCAGGTTTTGAAAGATGAAGTTCATGTCTGTTTCCCTTTTTTTTTTTTTAACATTTATTTATTTACTTTGAGAGAGAGAAAGCATGTGCGTGCATGAGCAGGGAAGGGGCAGAGAGAGAGGGAAAGAGAGAATCCAAAGCAGGCCCAACACTGTCAACACAGAACCTGACACAGGTTTTGATCCCATGGACTGTGAGAACACGACCTGAGCCCAAATCAAGAGTCAAGCGCTCAACCAACTGAGCTACCTGGTTGCCCCTCTGTTTCCTTTTTTTGTTTTTAATTTTTTTAATTTTTTAATTTATTTCTGGGAGAGAGAGAGAAAGACAGCATGAGCAGGGAAGGGTCAGAGAGAGAGGAAGATACAGAATCTGAAGCAGGCTCTAGACTCTGAGCTGTCAGCACAGAGCCTGACATGGGGCTCAAACCCACGAACCATGAGATCATGACCTGAGCCGAAGTCGGATGCTTAACTGACTGAGCCACCCAGGAGCCCCTGTTTCCTTTTTAAATATCAGAGATAATGAACTAAAAAGTCAGAAAACATATCACTTACCACAGATAGCTATCTCCAAAATCAGCTGTAGGAAATGAATGACCAAAGTTCTGGTGTGATTTTATTTTAAGGGGCTGTACCCCTTTATTACCAATAGCAGAGGGCTAGAGTTGCTAATGCTGAGTGCTAAAGTAGGCATACATTGAATCTTACTTTCCTGATATGTGGTTTATGGCCCTCAGGAACAGTATTCTACTTCCTTAAGTAAAGCCTGTTTGTCCTATTTGGATGTATATTTATTTTGATTTCATAAATAAAGCTGCTAACTCATGTATAACCACACTCACAAGGTAGGATGGAAAATTAAAGCAATTACAGGCATACCCTGGAGATTACATGGGTTCAGTTCCAGACCACCACAATAAGACAAGCATCACAATAAAGCGAGTCAAATGAATTTTTTGGTTTTCTGGTGCATATCATAGCTATGTTCACACTATACAGTAGTCTATTAACTATGTCATTGCCTTATGTCTAAAAAACGATGTACATTCCTTAATTAGAAAATATTGCTAAAAAATGCTAACCATGACCTGAGCTTTCAGTGAATTGAAATCACTGATCACAGATCACTGTAGCAAATAGAATAATAATGAAAACACTTGAAATATTGCCAGAAATACTAAAATGTGACACAGAGACACAAAGTGAGCAAATGCTATTGGAAAAATGGTGTGATAGACATATTGGACACAGGATTGCCACAGACCTTCAATTTGTTAAAACACGATATCTGTGAAGCTCAATGAACCAAGGCATGCTTGTATCTGACTAATTTAGGCAAAAGTAAAGGATATTCTTCCCTGACTCTGTGCCTACAGCATGGAGCTTGCTTGGGATTCTCTCTCCTTCTCTCTCTCTCTCTCTGCCTCTCCCCCAACTGTGCACACATGCACTCTCAAAGTAAATGAATAAACTTAAAGAAAAAATAGTCTTCCCTGAAAATACTGCCAGGAATTTGAAAGCAAAACAGGGAGGCTATAGGGGTATTTTTCTCCCCACACTCTCCAGATAATCACCTCAGATTGGCTCCATGTGTATTTTTGTTCAAATACATATGTTTAATAATAACGCTAGTGTTCTCCCAAAGATTTAGAGCAACTCTCAGAAGACTTCAGATCAGGTCATTTATGGGGATGAAGTAATCAAAAAAGTGAAAAGCCTTGGAAATGTCTTCTTATTTGATGTGGAAAGAGGAACGGCTATGGCCTTGTCTTTTTCATGTACATCTTGAAGTCTTATCAAATAATTTTGTTATTGACCTGAAGGCTATTACGACCAGGACCTTTTTAAAGGACCCAAAAATATATCTATAGGCTTTTTTTCCCCCTCAGCTGCCTCCTTTCATCTCAAAGATGAAGTAAAAAAGAAAAAAGAGAAACAAATAACATCAGTCTTTGTTATACTCAAATGACAAATATAGGAAATGCATGTCGTAACAACTGCTTCCACATCATTGGCAGACATAATTAATGCTCTTTATCCTCCTCCAGGGTCCAGGCTCAGAATCCTCCTCAACAGAGCACTGCCAGGCGCCACTGCCAATTCAAGTCCACACCTGAGACAAAACCTCTCTGCCATCCCCCCTCTTACATTGGTGCTGAGCAAGTAATAGTTAGTCTGCATGTGATAAAACATAAAAGACCAGAGGTTATTGCTATTGTTTAAACCTGTCTGCTTTTCACAAGAGAGGTGATAGCTGATAGTAGGCCTGATCTAAAGAATGGGAGCGTCACCTTGGTAACCATATCAGGTTGTTGACTCACAACCCATCAGCTCAGTCTACCCCGCTTCCTGCCACAGGGGAGTGGGGCCAGCCAACTTAAAGAACCCTCTGAAGGCAACTTGGACTCAGGTCAGTGGTACAGGCCACAAAGGAGTTGCACACAGATGAACAGGAAAGAGTCTGCTCTACATCTTGGCTTGCCTGGAAAAGGCAAGACAAAAGCAAAGGAAAGATAAGAAGCAAAAGGTGGGCTGCAAATCCACTAGGCAAGGGTGAGGACGCCCCACAGTTGGGACTTCAAGGCTAACCCTGCAGGCTGCACTGGACAGCAGGCAGAAGAGGTCCCAGAAGCTGCTGTGATGCCACTTCCTCCCTGTGATGTCACCATGCATTTGCACATGTGTACATGATAGAAAAAACAGCCCCTTGGCTCCATATATTACAGTACTGTTTCCAGAGCACTTTCCCATCTGTGATCTCGTTTGATCCCCACCTCAGCACAGGCAGGCAGGGCAGGCATTGTTATCCCCAGTTTTACAACAAAAGTGAGGCTCCCTTGTCCAAAACCATACCGCTTTTGAAGTCCAAAGTTGCTTTCATCTGAACTATCCCAGTGAAAAGAAGTAAAAGAAAATTAATATTTTGGATGAGTTCCCATTTGAATTTTCAGACCATCATACTAATTCCCTCCGAAACTTTGCATGGATAGAAGAGCTTACAGATGGATGGTGACCCAGTTGCATGTTATAGAGACGGGACAGTGATGGTGGTTTCCCCCATAGTAGCTTCTGGATCATTTAACAGTGGACATGACATTCTGGGCCCTCTGTCATTGAAAGAGACTTTCTATTCATTTTTCTGACAGCTGGTGACATTGTTGCAGATGTGGGTCATCCCTCTGTATTTCACGATAAAACTTTACTGGTGGCGGTTTCTATCTATGTGGGGAATGTTCTCAGTCATTACCAGTTACATCCTCTTCAGAGCTACCCGGAAACCCCTCTCAGGGAGAACACCAAGGTATGTATCCCGTTCGTTGCACCCCTGACATTCTCTTATTTATAAACATTAAGAAGTACTTCAATTCCATTTTCCTGGATTGGGGAGGGGCGCATCACACTTCTTTTGCCCTGCGGTAGCAAAACTATTTGGAAATTAGCTATACCACTGTTCACATTCATTATTTAATGGTGATTCAGACATATCTGTAAAATCTATGACTTCAGATACTAATGAAAGCCATAAGAAAGAGAAGTAAAAGTATTGTTTAAACTTTCTAGAACAAAAGGACGCATGGGTGGCTCAGTCGGTTACGCATCCGACTTCTGCTAAGGTCATGATCTCAAGGTCCAGTCAGTGAGTTTGAGTCCCACAGTGGGCTCTGTGCTAACAGCTCAGAACCTGGAGCCTGCCTCAGATTCTGTGTCTCCCTGTCTCTCTGTCCCTTCCCCACTCACACTCTGTCTCTCTCTTTCTTCCTCAAAAATAAATAAACATTTAAAAAATTTTATCTAGAACACTATTTGCATGTTTATTTTTAGCTTAGCATTTATTTTGCTCAGCTCCATCATAAGTTGTATCACACACATTTTATAATAGAGCAAGAGTTAGATGTTTGTATTTCTAACAACTATGTATGTATTTTATTTTGGGTAAATCATAAGTAATGGACAACTTACTCCTCTCATAACAAATGAGGCTTTAATATTCCAGTGCTCATCTTAATTACCACTGCCAACCTCTTGACATTTCTATAATGCCATTATATCATCCACGGATCTTTCCAAAGTACTTGTAATCTCATAACATGCCCACAAATTTGCTTTCACTCTCCTTGTTTTGCAGTTCAGATCTAAATTTAAATCTAGATAAAACTGAAAAGGGATAGAGAGAAAATGTGTAAAGCATTACATGGTAATAAGACAGTGTCACGTTTTGGTCTTTGTTGGAGAACAAATCCTAAGCTACTGTGAAATGTTTTTATGATTATTTAGCTAGTCAGATGTTTGTTTTTAATTCTCAAAAAAAGTGGGAGAGATGGATATCAACTTTTCCTTCTACTCTGGAGAAGAGAAAATCTACAGTGAGAAAAATCAGATAAATAAATGTAATGATAAAGATTAATATTCAAGGGGACCCTGGCTGGGTCAGTCAGAAGAGCATGCAATTCTTGATCTCGAGACCATGAGTTCAAGCCCCATGTTGGGTGTAGAGATTACTAAAAAAAAATTAATTAATTAAAAATTGATATTCAAATAAATGAATTCTGATATTTTAATTTAATCCCACTTGGAAAGAACTCTAGGCTGGTGTTAGGACACCTCCCGAACTGGCCGATTTTGGGATTTAGACAGCCTTTGTGTGGCCTGGTTTATCTGTACATGGTCATATGGTACCTTTTCTCCTTCTTAAAAAAATGTTGTAAGTTATTCAAAACTTATGAAAGTGATCTAAATTTTGGATGAACCAAAATGCACTTGCTTTCATTCCCTGGATATAATCTATGTCATATTTCAGTGAGAACAGTTTACTTCTCTCCTGTGGAATGAATTACCCCAGTTAAACACAGTATTTCTGTGCACATGAGCTCATTCAATGCAGAAGAACTTCATGACAAGAAATACCCACACGCTGCCTCGTTCCTCTCCATGGCCCATGTGTCTCAGATGGCAGGGCGCCTGCCCTTTGTTCCTCATGCCCCCAGGGCATCCGCTTCAGTTTCTCCTCCCTGCACAGCTCTGAGCCCTGGCATAGCCTGGCAGCCAACACACTCCACTAACATTTAAAAAAAGACCTACAGCCACCATTTGAAGAGATAACAATAGGAGAGGCTAATTAGACCCCATATTTTCTAGAAAAGCACTCTGGATAAAGAAGCACCTGTTTATGAGAGGTAATAGGCCCTAAGGATCCTTATGGATCTTTGATCATCATATCATAAGTTTTTCATTAGGAAGTAGGTTTTTGTTACAGACTAGGAAAGCCTGGTGAGATCAAACCAGCATGGTGCAAAAGCAAACCCAAGAGGAGTGGTCCCTCTCACCAAGGCAGTTTAAAAATCAGCTATTCCTCCCCCAGAGTGTACCAAGCCCTTGCTGTGGGGCAAAGTAACGGAGAAGGGGTTATGGGTTTCCTCTACTGCAGTGGGGTTCAGGCTCAAAAACAGGCCGCACATCCTCCACGAAGAGCTGGGCTTGGTCACATCAGTTCCAGGCCAAGCTTTCCTTTATGGAGGCTTGCCTGAAGCAGGAACATAATTCCTAATCTGGCTTCTCTGCCTTCCAGTATAATCTAAGTAGCAAGGGAGTTCTGGATGCTAGTGCTCTAGAAACTTGTACTCGCAATAAGCAGGAAGATTTGGGGGTGGGGGACTTGGGAAATCTAACATACCTGTAATAATTATACGCATAATGAGCATTTAATGTGTCAGATCTCTTGAACACTAATACATGATCTCACAGAATCTTCAGAACTACCTTAGGAGCTAGTGTTATCCCCACTTTATGAGTGAGGCAATCATAGGAAGAAGTACTAAGTAGGGTGGCCAGAGTCCAGCAGGCAGTAATGGGAAGAGGGAGCCCAGAATCATAGCAATAGCAGAGTGTGAACCCCCTCCACCCGCCTCGCTCCCAACAGCAGGCTGCGCCTTAATGAGACAGAGAAGGCCTGCAGTTTAAAAAGTCAAAACACCTGTGATGCTGGCACAAGCTTGAGAGGGGCTCCTCTAGGTGCAGAGAGGGTCCGTGGAGTTCCAGTGTGTGTGGGGTTCCCAGACCCCCACTCTGGTGATGGCAGGTGCTGTGGGGTTGCCTCACAGTCCCTCTCGGACCCTTTGCCCACTCTCACCCCTTCAAGCAATGGAAACTTCCACCTCTATCTGGCTGCACTGAGCAGAGATCCAAACTGCCGGTCAGTGCAAACCCAGTAGAACCGGCAGCCCCAGGAGTCACTGTCAAAAAGACCCCAAAGCCCGGCCTGGCCCCCTTTCGAGGTGACTTAGGCTCAGGGCCACTCGACCCACCTTGTGCAGTCCACGCAGAGTTTCTGGCCCCTGAGAAGTCCCCACTGCAGATCCCCCGCCGCTCCATGGGGCGGGAGAACACGTCCAGGAGGAAGTGTGCCCACATAACCCTAGTACTGAATCGCCTGAAGTGGGGAAGCCTTTCACCATAAAATGATGTAATGACAACTCATTTCTCAAACCAACCCACAAACCCCATTCACAGCATCATGTTTCAGAAGGTCCCTTCTTCTTCTTCTTCTTCTTCTTTTTTTTTTTCCTTTTCGTTTCTTTTCCTTCATGCTCAGCGCAGAGCTCAAAATGGAGCCCAAGCCAGGCTTGAACTCAGGACCCTGAGATCAAGACCTGAGCTGAGATCAAGAATCCAGTCAGATGTTTAACGGACTGAGCCCCACCCAGGCCATGAGAAGGCCCCTTCTGACTGCAATTCAATGAAGCAGGGCATCTTTTAAAATAGCATTGAAACAGTACATCAGTAGTATCATAGAATGTAAGCGTTGGGTGCAATGGCTCCAACAGGGAGGAAGTGGGGGAGATGAAACAGTTGGAGTCAGGGCTCCAGGGGGTAGAGGTTAAGTCTCTGGAGTGCAGTTGAGAGTGAAGTTGATTGTGAAAGGTGGGAACCGGCTCCTGGAAAGTGCGGAGGGAAAGAGCTGAGAGGCCTGCCTCCCTCTTGCCCTCCATCACCCTTGGGAGCAACAGTCCAACCACCACCTTCGTTTCTCTGGGCACAATGATAGTCCCTCAGCTGCGCCCCCCTCACTTCTCATTCCAGCGGGCAGAACCTTGTCCTGTGGCACCACGAAGGCATCTGGGCTCCCAGCCTCTTCTTACATCCTCCCAGGCATGAGGCAGTGGCCCTTCCTATACGTTTTCAAAGGGCTTTTACTGCCAGGGATAAGGGAAACAAGCAGGGTAAGGGGTCCCTTCTAAATCGTCGACACCCGTCCTCTCTATCCCCATCTCCAACTTCTCCACTCTGACCGTGTGGGAAGAAGGAATGGCAGAGTGCTCACTGTATGTGCTGGGATACACAGAGGATGCATCCACATAGCAGGAGAAAACCAGCCTGAGGCACGCTTGTGGTTCCATCCCAGGGCTAGGGAAGGGGCTCTGTGAGTGGAGAGAAGTTGGGGTGAGGCTGAGCCTGACACTGATGACCTCTGTCCGTGGGCTGGGGGGTGGAGGAGCAGAAGAAGGGGGCAACACTCCTGGGGGAGGAGTTGACTTCTCTGCTCATCTTGTGCTTACTCCGAGCTACTCCCGCCAAAACCGCTCTAAGCTAACCGTAGGACCAGAGGAGAGAAGGGGAGCCCTTCTTGCAGTCAGAAGGAGCCTTCTCAGGGGCCTGGGTGGGGCTCAGTCCATTAAACATCTGACTGGATTCTTGATCTCAGCTCAGGTCTTGATCTCAGGGTTCTAGGGTTCCATCTCTGAAAGCCACTCTTGCATGAGGAGCATAGACAAGCTTCAATGAATATATATATCCACATGCATACCATTTATATAGATTACTATTGAGTTTAGCTGATATAATCTACTTACATTCTTTATATGACATAATAAATAGAATTCTAGAAATTAAAAACTGACTTATAACAATGTTTGAAAAAGATAAAATACTTTATAATATATCATGTTCTGTATTTCTCCCCATTTTACATCCACAGGTTGGTCTACAAATGGTTTCTTCTAATCTACAAACTCAGCTACGCATTTGGTGTTGTGGGTTATTTGGCCATCATGTTTACAATGTGTGGATTCAATTTATTTTTCAAGTAAGTATCTCCAGTTAAGACATTAATGTCTCCAAGCACTTGGCTTGCAATATTCACCTGGTCAAGTTCTCTGTATCAAGAATCATTTGGCCCTACAATGTTCCATACACACATTGTTTATAGGAGATGTCATTGGTGGAAATCACTAGCAGAGTATAAGAGGAAACCCTATAGAGTAAAAAAAAATTAAGCTTTAAGGAAAATCTGTACTTGAGGGGTGTCTGGGTGGTTCAGTTGACTTAGGCTCAGTCGACTTAGGCTCAACTGACTTGGGCTCAATTAAGTGTCTGACTTAGGCTCAGGTCATGATCTTGAGGCTTATGGGTTTGAGCTCCACATCAGGGTCTCTGTTGTCTGTGCAAAGCCAGCTTCAGTTCCTGTCTCCCTCTGTCTGCCCCTCCTCAACTCATGCTTTCTCTCTGTCTCAAAAATAATAAATAAAAACATCAAAAATATTTTTAAAAATCTGTACTTGATAGGCAAATGTTAAACATCACCATTGAAAGCAGGTCTACATTTGTGGTTGAGTAATTCTTACTGAACTACAAATTTCCCCTCCATAAATTCTGAAGTGTCATTTCCTTGTATGTATCTTCTTCCTTCCAAACCTCTAGAACTGTACTGTCTGGTGCAGTATACAATAGGTCATGTGACTGTGAGCACCTAAACTATGAAATAAAATGTTCTAGAACTATAAAATAGAAACTGGATTTCAAAGTATGAAAAAGAATGTTAAAAAAGAAAAAGAAAAAAGAATTTTTATACTGACTACATGTTGAAATACAGTGTTTGGGATATATTGGTGAAATTATTTCATGTTTCTTTTTAATGTGGCTATGAGGAAATTTTCAATCTATATTTCTATATTGCCGTGGATAGCACTACTTTAGAATTTTATTTCTGGTACCTATGAAATCCCTTTTGCTGGGGACAGTCAGAAAAGGAAAAAACTAAGTGCTTAGAACCTGAATGAGAAGTAAGGAAATAACAGAGCAAGAATGTCTTGTGAGAAGTCAAGGAAATCGGGATCATTAGAATTCAGAACTGAGCTCCCATGAGAAAAATGGTTGCTGACATGGGCTGTGGATGAGGTTCTCATGGGCAGAGCCAAGGCTGTGTGATCAACCTGTGGCCTGGAAAGGGAAATTAAGACATACCACATGGCTGTAGAAAGCAGCTCAAATAAAGATTCCCCAGAATATCTTTCACACTGAAGCTCAGAAATTAAAAGGCAAACATTGGCAATTCATAAAATATGTCAGGCAATTGGATGGAGCGTCAGCTCTGAAGGGAAGGACTCTTCCTACGGCAGCATAGCAGTCTGATTTTATAAGCATTTCATGAAACTTTCAGAGTAGGGGCTCTTACCATTTTCTAGCAGGAAAGGGATAGAACATGATTGTACAGATCTATGATTTCTATATTATTCTGTGTATAGAAAGACTGATTTCTTTTATTTTTTAGCATACTGTCCAACTTCATTTTAGTGAATGTAAAAATATTCATAAGGAATTTTGAAATCACTGAGCCTATAGTTGTCGCAGGACTACTTTCCATAAGATATTAAGTTCCTTAACCATGACTTCTCCTACAATGAGGCATACTAAGAACTTAACCCTTCAGGCTGGGAAGGAACTATTTTTTCACTATTTAGTGTTATTGATCACTGCTGTTTTAAGATTCTTTTCTGTGGAACCACGAGTCTGTTACTATACTTTCTACTAGTAAAATTATAGTGCATCCTCCCCTGAACATGGGGAGAGATCATCTTCATTCCTCCCCACTGCCCCTATTCTCAAATATACCCAGGCAAATCTTGAAAGAATAAAGTCACCATTTGTGCTTGAATTCCCAATTCACCTCACCAAAAGATCTGTAACTTCTAAGTCTACAAAACTCTTTGCCTTTGCCATTTCCTCCTCAAATTCACAGAGCACAAAACAATCAGAAAACATTCTCAGGGACCAACTACCCAGCTGCCCTCCACTCCTGCCTCCCTTCCTGATACCATCAGATCTACCCAGGCCCAGGGCTAATATTTGAAACTGTTGAGAGATACAACAAACCATATGTGCAATGATTAAGATTCAGAAATTAAGTTAGGGGCTAATTAGTTACCTTTTGAAGAAATATTTCTCTTAAAAATGGGGTGCGGCGGTATCACAGAGAATTTCTTTTGTTTTTCAGCATATTGTCCATAAAACTTTGGAGTGGGGTCTGAAGGGCAGTGCATCATATTTGAAATATGATGCAACTTGCAAAATATTTTTTCTGATTAGCACACTCACAATGGCATAATAGCAAAGGGCCTCAAAATTGGAGGGTTATCCATGGTTTTGTTTTGTACCAATTGTCGTGTTAAGCAAATCATTTTTTTCTAAATCTCCATTTTTTCAAATGCAAATGAGGTAGATAACCGTATCTACCTCAAATATTTGTTGGGCAAGTGAAGTATTTGAAAGTATTCTCTAAAACCTAAGCTTGATAGCAGGGATTCTCAACCTGAGAAGTTTCTAAAATGCACTGCCCTGCAGACCGCACCCCAGGCCACTTGCATCACAGCTCCTGAGCAGCAGAGTCTTAAATCTCCGAAGGCGGTTCTAATCAGTATTTAAGGCTGAGAAACACTACTCCATTAAAGAAGTTCTTAATGTTAGCTGCCCACTGGAATCACCTGGAGTCTGGATAGCTTCCAAAAATATTGCTGCACAGGCCCTCACCCCCAGAGAGTCTGATGTAATTGGCCTAGGGTGGAGGGGAGATGGGGAGTTTTACAAGCTGCCCAGGCCTTTCTTTGCACAGCCCAGCCTCAGAGCCACTAGTTAAAAGACCTTCTCAAGAATTACATCGTCCACTTACCACAGAGTGGTAAAATTTGAAGAGAATTTAGAGAATTTAAAAGTCTTTAAAAGATCAATTAAAGTCTAAAAAAAATCAGCTAAAAAAAATACTCCCAACTTTCTGTTAAGAGACTATGGCAGGAAATTTCTTCTAAGCTGCATCCCTTCTCAAGCTCCTCATATGCCACGTTCTTATTTCCTCACACTGTCGTTTTCAACAGAATCAAGGCTAGAGATTCCATGGACTTTGGCATTGTATCCTTGTTCTATGGCCTCTACTATGGTGTCATGGGGAGAGATTTTGCAGAGATATGTTCGGATTATATGGCTTCTACTATAGGGGTAAGTGTTGCCTTCATTCCTTGACACTACTTATGGTGCATGGAGAAATGGTCTCATCTTACATGTTGGCATCCATTTTCGGAAATCAAGAAGTTTTTTTTGGTTCTCCCAGCCCAACTGCTCCGATTCTCCTTGCATCAAAACTCATCTTTGCTAATTGATTAGAAAATATACTTTCCATTTATATAAAGCTGTTGGGAAATGAGGCTTTATTAATTCATTCATTCATTCACTCATTCATTCATTCATTTTCAAGTAGTCTCTAGCCCAATGCAGGGCTCAAACTCACAACCCTGAGATATAGAGTCACGTGGTCTACTGACAGACAGCCAGTTGCCCCCAAAAGCATCTTTTTAAATAAAATAATTATTTGGGGGCACCTGGGTGGCTCAGTCAGTTAAGCAACCAACCCTTGATATGGGCTCAGGTCATGATCTCTAGGTTGTGAGATCAAGCTCCACATCTGGCTCCACAATGAGCACAGAACCTGCTTGGAATTCTCTTTCCCTCTCTCTCTGCCCCTCCCCTGCTCATGCACGCATGCTCTCTCTAAATAAATAAATAGATATACATTAAAAAATAATTATTATTTGGAAGTAACCATCTCTAGCATATTCCAATTGCCAACATTGAAAGGATTAGTAAAAATTAAATAGTGACAAAAAACTTTATATCTGCCTAACACAGAAAGTTATATTTCATGCACATAAAGCACTTGAGAATCAATCATCACTCCTCATAATGATCAGTTATCATTAGCATTAGAAGAAGTAGGAGATACAAAAACTGTGCTAAATATATTCTGACTATATATTGGTCTCTAGGATTTAAAAAATATCCCTAATACTTTTTTCTTAAACTTTCTTTTTAAAAAAATTTTTTAATGGTTTTTATTTATTTCTGAGAGAGAGAGACAGCGTGAGCAGGGGAAGGTCAGAGAGAGAGACACACACACAGAATCCAAAGCAGGCTGCAGGCTCTGAGCTGGCTGTCAGCACAGAGCCCAACACGGGGCTCGAACCCACAAACTGTGAGATCATGACCTGAGCCAAAGTCAGATGCTCAACTGACTGAGCCACCCAGGCGCCCCTCTTAAACTTTCTTAAGATTAAAACGCCAAGTGGACATACTTGCTAGTTAAATGGATTTCAGATTTAGATATTAGGAGCATTCATCTATGTCTGACACATGCACATCTCGTGAAAACTTACAAACCAGGGGCTTCAGGGATGACGTAGTGGCTTCAATAATTCCATGTCTCTGTCCTCTACTGGCCTCTTGGTACACAGCAGATAAAAAATGGAAAAGCTAGTGTGGATGGCAAGGGAAGAGTGTAATTCCAGATTGTTGTTCTCTCTCTCCAGTTATGGGGCAGGACTAAATAGATATGACCTTGGCTATACCCACCCAGTCTGCCCTTCTCCACCTCCGTAGGCTCTATCTTACTCTTTTCCTATAGCCTGGATTCCGACTGCTGTGGTGAAATATCAGAACAAGATACCTTTGGGAATTCCCCTGCCATGTGTCATCTATGGGACAACTGCCTTTTTTATAATGTTTAAGGTGAGCAAAGGAGAGAGCATTTCCACTCCTACTTCCTCCAGCAAAAGCCAGAAGCCATACTCCTTAAAAAATTCCCAAAGCCTTTTGTACTTGTATATGGATAGGAGAGGGAGAGAAGAGTTGTGTGTCCTCTGTTCTCCAGTGGACCAGGAAGAAGAGATTCAACCTCACAAGACAGGTTTTTAAGCAGCAACTTTCTGGAGACTTCTCACCTGATTCCACCCCACCAGTCTTCAACTTCTTGTCATCCTCTGTCAGCTTAACTCTACCAAATATATAAAACCCACTGCTTCAAGCCATTGGCACAACCCCCAGTGACTTGAACTGATGGAGTGTGTGTGTGTGTGTGAGAGAGAGAGAGAGAGAGAGAGACAGAGAGAGACAGAGAGAGAGAGACAGAGAGAGAGGCGGGGGGCGGGGGCTAAGGAGGAAGGAAAGGAGGAGCAATTTCCATTCTCACACCAGTGCCGAAGCCCCACACCAGACTAATTAAGTCACAATCTCCGGGAGTGGAGCCAGTGCATCTGCTTTGTTTTAAAAGCTCCTCAGGAAAAGAAATGAGCTATTAAGCCATGCAAAAACATAGATGGATTGTAAATACGTATAGCTAAGTGAAAGAAGGCAGTCAGAAAAGGGTACATGTTATATGATTCCATTTATATGACATTTTGGAAAGAACACAACTGTGGAGATGGTAAGCAGATCAGTGGTTGCCAGGGGTTTAGGGAGCGAGCACGGCTAAATAGGTGAAGTACAGAGAATTTTTTAGGGCAGTGAAATTATTCTGTATGACACTGTAATGGTAAATACATGACACTATGCATTTGAATCAATAGTATTTATAGCAGAAAGGGTGAAACAGTGTATACAAATCTGAAAAATCATTTGGGATGTGCGAGGATACCACGACAGAATGTAGACTGTGACAGAAGAATCTAACTGTATTACAAATGCATGAAATAACCACACTGAAGGGAGCAGGAGAAGAAAGTGCTAAACTAAGTAACTCTGAAATGAGTAGAGATCTAAGATTAAAAGCAAAGGAACTGAACATAAACAGTGTACTCTAGTTCATAAAGTGCTTTCCCTCAGGGTTATGGGTTAACAATTCTGATACTGCTATACATGTATTCTAGAACTGAACAACAACTCAGTATATGTTGATCCATAGTGGGAACTATGTTTCTCACCCTCAGAAGGTTACAGATACCTAAGGAGAGAAGACTAGAATGATACATATAGTAAAGGATAAGAGTTAAAGACATCAGTCTGAACTCATGTTTAGCTAATATAGATTATATGTATCTTAATATAGATGGATACATATAGGAACATCTATCACTATGTTATACACATGGGTTAGTATATACAGATATATTTCCTTACTCTGTCAGCTAAGAAGACTAGAAGCAATGACGCCCCAGTGGCAGTGAGCACACCTAGTGCCTAGATCTTTTCTAATGCCGTTCTACATTAAAAGGAACCAGGGTTCCTTAGAGAAACGGTTGATTCTAGGTCTTGGCAGGGAATATACAAATGAGCCTGGAGTACCTTATGCTGCCAGAAGTTAAGGAAGTGCTCAAAACAAGCAAAGAGACAAAACCACCACCATGATGAGGGTAAGTCAAATAGATACAGAAGCCACCTGACAAAGCTCCCAATGGTCAAAGCTGGAACAATCTGTGCAACAAAATAGTAGCAGTAGTAGTAGTGGTGGTGGTGGTAGTAGCAGTAGCAGCAGCAGCAGCAGCAGCACTGTGTTATAACCCAAAGTATAAAATAAATATCATGAGTCTATATTGATATAAATAAATGAATGAATGGGGGAGAATAGACAAATCTCTGATGCAGAAGAAGTCCACATAATTTATGTAGATACTTCAAACTTAAGAAGGTTATATGGTTAACTTTTCTGGGTCAGCTTGGGTAAGCTGTAATGCTCAATTGTTTGATCAAACACCTGTCTAGAAACACACCCTATCAGTTCCTTTCCTCTGGAGAAGCCCCACTGATACTGAGGTAGAGCATAACTTCCCCCTCCTTGTGATTTCCTTCCAATGAGTACAGATTAGAAAGGAATAATGAGTCACTTTATAGAAATCTGACAAACACTATCACACTAGGTGATCAGGGTTAATATTAACAGTGATAAGTCTGATAGCATGTACCATCGCTATGGTGTGATAAGAATGTTATCTTCCTCTTGTGGTTTATCTATACCATGGAATACTACATGGCAATGAGAAACAATGAAATCTGGCCATGTGTAGCAACATGGATAGACCTTGAGGGTGTTATGCTGAGCAAAATAAGTCAGGCAGAGAAGGACAAATATCATATGTTTGCACGTATAGGAGGATTAGGAGGAACTTGACGGAGGAACAAGGGGGAGAAGAAGGGGGGAAATGGTGGGGGAAA